AAAGAATGGGAAAATATATTCAAACTGTTAAGAGAAAAGCAATTTCAGCCGAGAATACTGTACCCGGCAAGATTATCTTTCATGTGGGAAGAAAAGACAAGAACATCCTGAAAGAATTTACCAACACCAGGCCAGATCTCCAAGAAGTTCTCAAGGGTGTGCTATATCAAGGAAATTAAATACAGACACACAGAAATAAGAGTTCAAAAACTAAGAAAGTGGCCAACTTAATCACAGGGACAAGTCTGGAGTTAATATTATATCCCAGAATTTAATCAGGAAAATTGAACCAGAACAGAAGATAAAGTACATGAAACAAGTTCATGCACCTACCATTTGAACAGAATCCTAACCTGTTTCCTGGCTTTAAGAAAAGTTCCTTAGCATTGCTATGATTTAAGTTAAAACTGGTTTTTCTTAATAGTACCATATGAACTTACCATTGAAAGTAGTTAGATTATTTAAGAAATTGTGTGATCAATACAATGTGGGTGGGAAAGGAATGGAAGACAATTGTAGACACCAGAGATAGTGTGAGAAGAGGGTGGGAAAGGACGGAGGGTCAGAAAGAGGGGTAAATAAAATATTCTAGTGAACCAACCCCATACTTTCTGCTGGTTGGTTCACTTGAGAAACAGTTATTTTTGGGAACCAGCAGTTAGCGTAATGGCTATGTTGCTGGACTCCCACGTAGTCAACCGTGGTTCGAGTCCCAGACCTGGTGGCTTAAACTCACGCTGGGCGCGCGTGTGTGTGTGTGCCCAAGATCCCGAGTGGAGAATGAAGGAGAAGGGATTGTGGCGTGGTCATCCCCCCTGTGGGGTGGTTTCTCTCTCTCTGTCTCTCTCTGTCTGTCTGGCGAGCGCACGTGTCCTATAGCAAAAACGTCTCAAAAAAAATTCTAGGAACTAGAAATGGAAAATTTTTTATAATAATATGCATGATTAAGTCACTATTTATTCAATGACTGCAGTAAGATATATAGCCCCAGCTAGGTGCTACTTTATAGGATGCCTAAAGTTAGACTTGTGTTCATGGAAATGTATATATCAGCTGTGTTTGGTATGAAAATATTTAGATTAATTAAGATCTTTAGTAATTTAATAAAATGTGAAGGGAAAACAGCATAGAAAGTAAACATAGATATCAGAGACAGTGTTGGAGCGGAGTGGGAAATGGCAGAGGGTAAGAGATAGGGAATCAAGGAATGGGGGGGGAACAAAACATACAGGAAACAAGAAATTTAAAAGTATTTGTTGATAATAACGTGTTTGTTGATGTTCTTGTTTGAGACAATGTACAGTGTACTCTCTGGATGGAAAACCTCATTTAGTATGCTGTAATTATGTACACTGAATGAACGTAAATAAATACATTTAAATAAAAAAAATTCTCAGACTTTGAGAAATAGATGGAGAGAAATATAGAATTAAGGAAATTTACCTTAACTTTCTTATATGTTTCTCTTCTTCTTCGTTTTGAGAGATTTTTTTGCTATAGGGCATTATGCTAACTAGAAACACAGGAAGATAGAGAGAGAGAGAAAGTGAGAAATCACCCCCCCTCCCAGGGGAATGGCCATGCTGTAATCCCTTCTCCTCCATTCTCTTCCAGGGAGAGGTGTGAGTGCACACACACCTGGTGTGAGTTTCAAGCCTCCAAGTCTGGGTCTTGAACTGTGGTTAGCCATTAGGGAGTCCAACACCTAAACCACTACCCCACTTGCTGCCCCTATGCTTCTCTTCTAATGCCCCTTATCTCAGAGGCAATAATACACATTATGACTGTCCCAGATACCACCTATTGTAAATAATATCAATGTAGTAGTCAGAAATGGTTTAAGTCATTTTCTATGTTATCTATCCAGAACCAGACTTTAAAGCAGACTTAACTAGTTGTGTAGAGTTCAAAAAGATATGAGAAATAGAGGTCAAGTTTAAAATAATAGATTTTTTTTTTAAAAGAGAGGTTTTTCCTATAGGGCACATGCTCTCGCTAGAAAGACAGAGAGAGACAGAGAGATAGAAATCGAGAAAGTGAGAAATTACCTCCTGGGGGCGGGTGGCCACGCCACAATCCCTTCTCCTCTGGGGATCTTGGGCATGTTCGCACACGTGCTCACTGTGAGTTTAGGCCACTGGGACCGAGACTCGAACCCCAGTCGACTTGAACATGGGAGTCCAGCGACATAGACATTATGACAACTGCTAGTCCCTAAAGTGGTAGATTTCTTATGAGAATAAACATACACGTTTTTCTCTACTGATCTAGGACGGTTTAATGCAGTTATAGATCAGTGAGTGCTGTGTGTTGTCTCAGAAGCTATTTAAAAGACTGCACGGTTTTGGGAGTAGCAGATGGTGTAATGTCGCTAGACTCCCATGTAGTTGGCTGTGGTGGCCTAACCGCACTCTGGGCACACGTGTGCACGTGCCCAAGATCCCG